TAACAAGACAATTACGATCAAGAGTCAGTGGGAGGGTGTTAATATACAACACTCATTATGATGTACAGTCGAGCGACTCAATTCATTATCAATAAAGGTGCTACAGTAGTCATCAATCTTTGCCAGGAGCCACATAATACGTTATAATGTATGCGAAGGAACTCTTGCATGCAGTATTGATGATATCCACATATCTATCAGTGTCTAGTTATCGTCCGCTTTAGAAATATTTCAGCAATATCCACACGCATAACCTTTTCACCAGTAACACATGTACAAGTAAATACAAGCGACAACACCTTTTCCATGTTCATAAGAAATCGAGGCTGAAATCAGAATCCATTGTACGATTCCGTTTATTTTATGAGCAAGTTTTCATGAATCACTATCAATGTTCGACAAAAGGTGAGCGTCACAGACACATGCAAGGTCAAGTCAAGTGTAGTCAAGGGAACCTATATGTCAAATAGGGAATTGCTTCTGTCATCATTGGTGTCATTAATGTGCCAATTTTGGAAATGTCCTCTAATGACAACCAAACAACATTCTGAAAGCTTCAACTAAGACCTCGCTTGTTGTAACGTTAATCAGCAAAAGTCGTTTGATGTTGTTTGAAATCTTCGAAGAAAGAGCATGCTCGATTGTACGTCAGAAGTTGTGAAATGTACCCACCAAATGCTGGAGCTGCTGGAATATTCAGTACATAAAGGGAAAGTTGATCATTGGAAAGCTGAAGTCATCACTCTTGTCATACAGTCTTGTTGAGACCATTTTGTTTTAAACCTATTTCTGATGGCACCCCGTGTTTGCAAAAGCAGTGTAAAGCCCTGCGCGCACATTCATTTACGGTGGTAACAATTATTCCTTAAACAGCATAATTTTTTTATGTTAAAATAATATTTCAAGAAATCACGAACAGACTACAGAAGGATAAATCGTCATTACAAATCTCCTTGAATACTCATTAAATTACTCCTGTCATTTATTCCTCGGTATATGCGAAGTCATGGCAAGTTACGCGATAGGATACCGTGGTGCCCCTAAAAAATGCACATGTACGAACGTATTGAGAAAGTTCAGCCTGTCATATATAAAGCATGAACTCCGTGGTGGCAATCGGGTTGTCAGATACGCTGACTTGGTTGATGCATGTCGTCGTATCCCAAATTCGTATATCGATGATCATGATATCAACCACTGAATTGTCTGATTCCGATTCGATTATTTATAGACCGCTGTCGCATAGCTGGAATATTGCTGAGTGCGGCGTTAAAAATCAAACACACAAATCAAAAATTAAACAACACGGATGTATCAATATAGTCAGATTGAGCAATATACACAGCCCAAAATGTGTACATGTATTCTGTAATGAAAATTGTGGAGAATGTTGTCATAGAAAGTTGGTAAAACAAACAGGGAGTTCGACCTGTCATCAACAATGTTGTATGCTGGGCACGTCTTGGAACGGTTACCGCATCAGCACTGTAATTACATACTAGACTCTACATTGTAGCAACGCCTGACACATCTAATGAATAATTCAAATATGGATTGACTTCGAGTCGTCTTATCTAAACCAACATCACCTTCATCCCAATCCTGGACTATTTGTATAGGCATATAACACCATCTAGTTTAGTCAAGCATGTAACTGGCGATTATGTGCTGTCTAAACTGTGCTCTGTAAATATTGGTTTTTACTGTTGGCAAGACAGGTTTCCATGCAGATGTGAAGTGTTGTTAACCATCTGTAATGGCTCAGTGTACAATGAATAACACACTGTTAACTTATTAATTCCAACATTCACACAGCAAAAAAAGTGTAGGTATCCGTCTTCCGGAAACCTTCCGGAAACCTTCCAGATGCCCTCAGCAACCTTCAAATCTCTTGGTATTTTCAAGATAATTTTTTTATGTGTTTCACACTTAAGTGAACAAAATGCACACCCCAAATTTTGACATTTTTTTTGGAAGGTTTCCGGAAGGTTTCCGGAAGGTATCCGGGCCGAATCCAAAATGGGAAGGTATCCGGAAGGTTTCCGGAAGACGGAAACTTACACTTTTTTTGCTGTGTCAAATGTGCAATTACCGTCAACAATACTCAGTTGACGTTGAGTGTTAAATAATATCTCTCAATAAAAGTGTAAAAGAAAATGACAAAGAAGAAATAAAATAATTTGATGGAACTGCATTCTAAGCATTCATTCTACAATGGAAAGTCAAAGCTTGACTCGTATCTCGTATTAAGGAGGCATACGCTTGCGAATCATCGTACATGTATATTCTTATTAAGAGTTTGTGGACAAGTAAAATATCGAATCAAATCTCGTTAAGGTATCATTCAGAAAATATAAACGTAGTTTCTCGATATGGGAGTTTCTCAAGTTATCACAACTTCCACCCACAATTGTGTATCTGTTTATTTGTATATCGTTCTGTTATAAACCTACATCAGTTTATAATCTAATACTAGTGTATATTAGTTATGACATATTGGAAATGTTTTTAGCAAAAAACATCCACAGGGCTAAAATGTAATCAAACTGATGATCAAAGTGTAGACGAAGTCAAACAACTTTAATAACATTTCATCCATACACTTAGGAAGTTCAAGATATAGGAAGCAGCTTAAAACGATCGTACACTGACAAATCCTGCTAAAGTGACGACAGTGATTATATTCTGGCATTGACAGTTCATAAGACACACACACATCAGTATGAATGCTAAAACGCAATTGACGTGCTCAATAATCGACTGTGTGCCAGTTGGTACCGCGAGAACAACAACCTTGGCACATCTGGTTGTGTGAAAGTAAAAGAGACAATTTTCTAAAAGAGTACACACAATTCATCACGTCGACATTAACAGTCCCAGCGGGACACAACCCTACACAAACCTTACGGCACCACCGCGATACCGTCAGTTTGATTTATGTGAAACAGTTAGGACATGCTTGCCGTAAAAGGCGACTTTGCTTGTCGTAAGAGGCGACTATGCTTGTCGTAAGAGGCGACTAACGGGATCGGGTGGTCAGGTTCGCTGACTTGGTTGATGCATGGCATCGTATCCCAAGTGTGTGGATCGATGCTCATGTTGCTAATCACTGGATTCTATGCTCCAGACTCGATTATTTACAGACCGGCATCATAGAGCTGGAATATTGCTGAGTGCGCTGTTAGACAACAAACAAACAAACAAATACACACACAAACAAACATGCAGAAACTGCTATCATTTACTCGTTTGAATACTAAAAAGAGAAAAATATATGGCGGCTATAAGCTTTTTTTTTTCCTGAAAAATGAACAATGAATATCCGCGCGTTCGTGTTTGGATTCCGTGACAAAATTGTTTGTTTGTTGTTTAACGCCGCACCAAGCATTACTCCGGCTATATGACGGCGTCTGGACCAGACAATCAAGTGATTGACAACATGAGCATCGATCCACGCAATTGGGATCGATGACATTCATCAACCAAGTCAGCAAGCCTGACCACCCGATCCCGTTGGTCGCCTTTAACGGCAAGCATGGGTTGCTGAAGACCTATTCTACCCCGGATCTCCACGGGTCCCGTGACAATATTAGCTACATAGCAACAACTATCTTAACACTTAACAGCATTGTGAATATAGACAAATATTTTAGGTTTTGAATTGTACACTGGATTCGCGTATGATAATCTCAGAGTTAAACCGTACTAGGACCAATATACCATGTAGCGGGCATAGACCATGTACTCGTCCAGTGGTCTGGGACACATGTAGTCGCTGCCAAAGTCCAAAACAGTAGCTGTTCAAGGCAGCAGTTATAACTGTCCTGGCAGCACCATACATGTATGTTTAACATTTTGGTTTCATCAAAGTAATAAACGTTCACGACGTGCTTTACTTTGCAATTGGGTTCTCTGCCTACGTTAAACAATCTGACATACTGTGACGCTTTAATGCTGACTCCATCACTTCATAGCAAAAGCGCGAAATTGCATACATCTGCAGGTGTTCGCATGTGTAAGGGCCATTTACGCAGTAGGAGAACACTAGCCCTATATAATGCACATATACTGTGGATTTAATGTTACTATTATGTATGACCTTAGGGAACTCATTTAGAATGATGGTTTGACCGTTTAACCTCACAACACTGATATGACAAATAGTCATAAAGCTAATGGGTCGGAAAGACCAATATAGCAATACACATGCTTTGTTTGTTTGTTTGACGTTTAACGTTGCACTCAGCAATATTCTAGCTATATGACGGCGGTCTGTAAATATTCGAGTCTGGACCAGACAATGCAGTGATTGTCATTCGGATACGCCGACACACACCCGCAAGGTCAGGGGTCCTGACAACCCGATCCCGTTTGTCGCCTGATACTCTCAGCATGTGTTGCTATTTTAAAGATCCCGTCTGCTCTCGCGTTGATGTTGCTCTTCCGATCCTCAATTTGCATGAAAACTGTTGATGCTATTGACGTCTCCACAGATATAGCTATGTTACCAATAGAAGAACAAAGCGTCTATAATATGTAATGTAATGTAAATATACACGATTGTAAAACTATTTGTAACACCAATGACACACAAGTGGCACTTTTGCCCATGCCATGAGCATGCGCGGGATAATTCACGTGGTAATCATCAATGTGATTAGTGCTGTAAATTGTCACATTTCAGAAAGTATGGACTGATTGTTTTCGGCGCAGTGGGTAATGGATACAGTCACCACATGTTTAAACATGCATTTCAAAAGACGCACTGTCCGTCACTTCGTCGCTTTCGACCGCTTGGCCACCTGTCCATATACAAATAGATATAGTACAATTAACACTGTTATCATTAACACACACGTTTGCAAAGTAACATTAAAGCTCTTCTAAATCTTCAGTTGCAGGTATATACGCTTGTAATATTGATGCCATCGGGGGGCTGAATACACTGTATACTGGGTGTATGGAGCATACGTGTTCACGCTTGTGTTTATATATTTCAGACCCATCGGACCAGGCGATACCACTCACCGATGCGCCAATCAGTTAAGACCTGCTCAACTAAAGCTCTTGGATATCGACTCGTCAGCGACCGACTGGCGGTTAATGATTATCAAGCGTTAGACTCAGCGACCATACACTGCAGCATACAGAATTGATCCTACTCTCGAACTGTGACAACGTAGGCAGTTTGCTCCCGCATGCGTCTATGTGTTCGGTGTGGCTCTGATGCCTCATTCCGTGTGTCAATGAATGGCGACTTAATTACTTCTTAGAGACGTATCTGTACAATGGATGCCACCGTTGTAAGTTATGGTGGCGAAAACAGAAGTGACTTGTGGCCAAGACAAAACAGTTCGTGGACTTTATCCGATTCTAATACAGAAATTTTAGACATTTTACGACAGACACGTGATGCCAAATACTTTCACCCAGCGGTGGAGGTTGTATTGGAAATAGCCTATGCTCTTCTTATTACATTCGGAGGCATTGGAAACGGGCTTGTGTGTTACGTGGTGGCGAGGAACACTCACATGAGAACACCAAGAAACATTTTTATCATAAATCTGGCTATATCCGACTTTACATTATGTATGTTTACACAACCTTTAAACTTGGTGAAACTAGTGTACCTACAGTGGAGACTCGGAAGCTTTATGTGCAAGTTTGTAACGATGTTTCAAGGCACCAATGTGTTCGTGTCCACAATCAGTATCACGGCCATAGCTTTGGATCGGTTCCAGGTGATAGTCTACCCGACGAAGGACAGCATGCGGAAGGTGGGTGCGGCTGTGGCCCTCATAAGCATCTGGCTTATCTCCTTCCTCATGGCAAGCCCCTTCCTCCTCTTCTCTGTCCTGAGGGAAGAACAACCCGTTCCTGACTACCCAATATTCTTGTACAGATGCATAGAGGACACGGAACTGAAGTTGGAGAAAAGAGCCTACTCGGTTGCAGGTATGGTGGTGCAGTATGTCATGCCCATCATAATTGTAACTATTTCCCATCTTAGAATATGTAACAAACTCAAATACAGGATGGTGAACCAACGTCCCCCTCCAGGGCAGCGATCTCCGTACCTGAGGAAGAAGAATGAACGGAACACAAGACGGAAGAGGAAGACGAACCTACTCCTTGCCATGATAGCGGTGGTCTTTGCTTTGAGCTGGTTGCCGCTCAATATCTTCAACCTGTTGAGTGAGTTCAACGATGACATGTTTCACGGAGACGTCATTGACATCAACTTGACGTATGCGATTTGTCACTTGTTTGTACTGTGTTCTGGGTGTCTGAATCCCGTGCTGTATGGTTGGCTAAATGAAAACTTCCGGCAAGAGTTCATGAAGGTGCTGTGTTGTTCCTGCTGTAAACGCCTCCAAAATAAAGTCAAAGGAAGCCTGTGCTGTAAGGCTGCTCATCAGGACCCCCATCCCGGAGTACCTGCTATCACTCTTACCAAAGCTTCTAACGGAGAGCCTCCATCAAAGGTCTGTGATGAAGACGGTCCTACCGTCACCCCATTGTCGGAGTTCAACGTCATGAAATCGTGAACTGTGTGTTGAACTTGCAACTGTGAAGTCAGTTGAAAATTACATAGAATTTATTTTTAGACAGGCTGAATACGGAACTTGGACATGAAAAATGTGATCATTTTAGAGTATCTAATAAGTATTGCATATCAATATGTCTTTGCATGTTTCACCTAATATGCATTAAGCCATGACCCCATTGGCGAAATTGTGGTTAAGTCTTGTGGTTAAAACGTACGCTCGTCACACAAAAGGCTAGAGCTCAATTTTTGCACATGGGTACATTGTATGAGGCCTATTTTGTTGTTCTCCTTTCCCCTGTAATATTGTCAAAACCTTGCTAACTGGAGCATAAAAGTGATATTATGGTCACAGTTGTGTTTTCATGGTTTTTATCATGACCTAAATGCGAACAGAATATAGGTAGGAAAATGGAAGTGTCTTTGTCCTAATACATTTATTACCATGTGATAATTTGATTAATGTGTTAAACATTATTACATGAAAACCATTGGTTTCAATACATTTCCAAAGGGAATAATACTCACATGATGGGTATTTACATCATTCTGTCTACACAACTGAGCTACCTACATGTATCAGAAACCTCTGCACAGTCTTAGCATGATTAATACAGTGTACAATAATTTTTCCATATATTCACATGGTGATAGTAGTTTTATTGATTTGATTTTAATCTAAAAGTGACAAAAACATTTCCATAATCAAAGAAACATCTACTAAAAGCAGAGTCCATTGTACGATTCCGATTACATCGTGGGAATGTGTTTATGAATCACTATCAAATAGTGATGGTACCAGGTGTTCGCGAAAAGGTGCACATATCCTGCCCCACCGGTGGCACCCATCATAAACACATGTAACGGTAAGTGAACATAAAACACAAGTCAAAATGGGGAATTGCATCGGATATAATTTTTGTCGCTGATGCGTTAAATTTGGAAATGCCCTCCACATGTTAACAATAAAACGTTTTGAAAGCGTTGCTGGGGCCTTGAATGTTGTACCCGTGATCAAATTACTTTTAAGCAAGAGTCAAAAACATGATATTCTGGACAAGAAACAAATGCACACTTTCACGGGAAGTTCTTAGGCGTCACAAGCCTTCACAATCTACTTACATTGTTTATACATGTTATGTGATTCGGGGGAATTAACGTTGATGCTCCGTCATTTTGTCCTTGGCGTCGCCTTGTTATAATTGTTATCAATATATATTATTGAGTATCATGGAATGTACGAAACAATGCTTTTATTATTATGTGTAAATCTATATTTCCTGTCAAGATACTATTCCTAAGTGTAAATAAAACTGCATAAGACGTTCTTTGTAGTGCATTATTATCACGTCCAGATTAAAATAAAACATGCAGCAAAGAGGGTTTGGGTGATCATGGCACAGTCAGACTGGTTAGGCTCATCATTAGCTTGCCCCAGCCAGCGAATGGGACTTCTCCCAAGAAGCGCTGCCCAGTCGATCCCACCTAAAACTTTTCTGAGAACCTGAAGACTCCACAACACTGCAGCCTTCTGCATTACCCAGATTGTCAGAAGGGTTGTATTACTGGCAGCAAACCCGGAGTATTCACCCAATGTCATGAAAACAGATTTGGAGGTACCAAACGTAAGGCACCGAGAAAAATGGGGAGTCGGACAACTTGGTACTTGGGATGCAAGCGAGACATTTCGAAAGCGAGGTCCGCACATTTGCCATCTTTTTTTCTGAATCTTGTCAATCACATTTGTGTCAACAGGGACAGAAAAGCCAATGATATAAATGATTTCATTGGATTATCAAAAAGGACAAGATCAGGTTTGTTGGCCTGGATACGTCTAAGGCTGTAAATGGGCCTATTCCAAAGAATTTTGTATTGATCATTTTCGATGACGCCCTCTACATATTCCGGGTCGCACTGTGGGTGGACCTCTGTATCTAAACTACAAGCATGGCGAAGACGGTAATAAAATGATCGAGCTACACCATCATGTCGCTGAAGATACTTTGTGCCAAAGCTGGGCATCCACTGACAATGTGTTGGACAGTCTCATTAAATTCATTACATAATCTACATTTCATATTTACATTTTGATGCAAAATCACACATTGACGGTTTCGAGTGGGAAGTGATTGGTCCTGAGCAGCGTACAGAAAGCCTTCAGTTATTATTATTTACAGACCAAAATAAAAAATGCAGCAAAGAGGGTTTGGGTGATCCTGGCACAGTCCGGCTGGTTAGGCTCATCATCAGCTCAGGGCCCTGCCCCCTCTACACGCAGCCCAGACAGCGAATGGGACTTCCCCCTATGAAGAGGGGTGGTGGGGTAGCCTATTGATTAAAGCGTTCGCTCGTCACGCCGAAGACCCGGACTCGATTCCCGACATGGGTACAATGTGTGAAGCCCATTTCTGGTGGCCCCCGCCGTGATATTGCTGGAATATTGCTATAAGCGGCGTAAGATCAAACTCACTCACTCTCCCAGGAAGCGCTCCCTAGTCAAACCTACCAAGATCTTTTCGGAGAATGTGGAGGCTCCCCAACAGTGCAGCCTTCTGCATTACCCAGATTGTCAGAAGGGCTGTATTCCTGGTAGCAAACCCGGAGTATTCACCCAATGTCAGGGAAAACAGATTGGGAGGTACCAAACGTAAGGCACCGAGAACAATGGGGAGTCGGACAACTTGGTACTTGGGATGCAAGCGAGACATTTCGAAAACGAGGTCCGCATATTTGCCATGTTTTCCCTCAATCTTGTAAATCACATTAGTGTCTAAAGGGACAGAAAATTCAATGATATAAATGATTTCATTGGATTTATCAAAAAGGACAAGATCAGGTTTGTTGGCCTGGATACGTCTAAGGCTGTAAATGGGCTTATATCAAAGAATGTTGTATTGATCATTTTCCATGACGCCCTCTACATATTATCATCATCATCATCATCATCATCATCATCATCTTTATTATTATTATTGATAACAAAGCGTTTACATACTGGTTGATTTTTACTAAATTACATCGATAACGTTAAGTTGGGTTTTATATTAATCTCACAAGTTACAGTACCAACTGTTTCAGCGCCACAGATATGCAATTGATAAGTCATGAAATATTCCAGTGAGCATAAATCGTACGCACGAAATCATTGTCAGACTTTCTATTTCAGACTTCATCGGTGTTGTGCGTTTTCATTAGACGTTCATATTGTATTAAATGAAACGTCAATAGGCAATATCTCTGGTTTTATTACATTTGTACAAAGATCCAATCTTGACTATGGCTGTGGTGTCGCAAAGGACCTCATTAGAAGTATATTGCTGATGCAAACGACTAATAACATAGCGGCGCTATGAGTGGGACACAATTAAGGATTGAAGTTGTATTTGTTGACGTTCATCAGCTGATGAAGAGACAGTGCCTCACGTGAGCAAATTTACCGTGAAGCGCTTCGCTCACGTGAGGCACTGTCTTCATCAGCTGATGAACGTCAACAAACTTCAGTCCTTATATTGACAGATACATAAATCATAAAAAAACAATCTATTAAACATCAAACTTTAATTATTTAAAGCGAACTATGTAAACGCGGAGATTCGTGAAGTCATCCGTCCCAAACATTCCATTTGGAGTGACATCCCTTGGTTTTACAAACGGCAAAAATGGCGGCTACGGCAATGTCATTCACTTGAAATAAAATTTGCACCCAGTAAAGTTAGCTCTGGAAAGAAATCCAGACCCGGCTGATGCTGAAAATGGATTGATATAAACGTTCTATGAACTGTGGGTGTGTGTTTGTGTCTTACCACGGCTGCTGATGAAGGGGATTACCGTTTGAGGCGGCGCGTTTGGATTTCCCGAAGCAATACACGACAGTGTGGAGCTCTGTGATTTCTTTTGTTAAGTCGAGCATTCTCTGTTATAGCTTAGTATGGACGCTTCATTTCGGTTTCACGACAGATACATGATGTGTCTGGCTTCAAAGACTGCATCATTCGTAGCCTGAATCGATGTCGCTCCCTTTTTTTTCCAAATCATTTTGAAAGTTATTTTTAGACATTGAGGAATCGCCTAAAGTAGTTATGTATATCTCCGCTCGATTCACGTTATCACGTGACATACTGACGCTCCTCGGGAAATGAACGACAGTCAGTTTGTAGTTTTCACCCTGGAGAGGTCAACATTACAAAATGAAGGGTACCTGTATGTACAGAAATGCCAAAATCTCTGGGTATTCATACACTACATTTTAACAAGAAAGACCGAGGCAGAAACACTCGCAATGTTTAGCGAACACGTCAAAGTCTTATTGTCAACCCAAAATATTTAAAGTGGCAAACATATATGAATCTATGTATGCTACCAAAGATGTCACCAGGTGTCTCAGGGGTAGCATGTCTTAAATGCCACCAGCACCCGATGGCCAGTGTGTTCTGCTTACTAAATCAAGGATGACGACAGTGTCCCAGTTCGTCCATAGCGAGTGTTTCATGCTGACAGATATACAGAGGGTCGTCTCAGGTAGACGGAAGTAAATGCGACTGTAGCTGACCGAAGAGGAGTAATGACATTGTCACACAAATGTAATATCCTAAGAATTTACTATCACTGCAGGGGAACGGAAGAGGTGGTGGTCACTCTTCATGCCAACTTCGTATGTTTACCATTCAATTTATAACTGACTAATACAGTAATGGCACACATCTGTCGCCATTCTGGTTGCATTATCACGGTTAGATATCAAACTCCTATCAGTAATACAATCTTCAACTAAATTGCAAGTTCTTTGAACATTTACGGACACTTTCAATATTATCAACGTTGATATTAAACGTATACCGAGTCCCGGAAGGCTTTGAAGGTTGCTCATAAAATCAATCGTCTGTCACTGGATTGTCTGGTCCTTGAACGTCGCAGAGGTATTTGACTGGTACAGATACGATTATTAACAGGCCGCCGTCATATAGCTGGAATTTTGCTGAGTTGGCGACGAACAACAAACACACTAATCAGGCCAAAAAACGAACGCAAGCTCTTTGGTGTTAGACATGATGATCGTCCTACAGGCCAATATGACATCGCCTTTGGTTGCTTATATTACCCAGCCAGTTGGACTCGTTGGTGACACAATTTGTTGCAACAAAGGCAGAACTCAACAAATCTTTGACGCAAGTCCATACAATACACGTATGAACTTGTAATTATGTGTAACACCAGAGCTCTTGTGCCAACGAAGTACAAATTACATGAACTGAAACCAACTACTGGATACACATTCTTGGAATGTCAATCCAGATTTGGAGAATTCAGTGCACGACGGTGTTGCATCGTCTCACTATGTATATCAACGGGTTA